ACCCACTAGCGAAGTATTCTACGATGTGTGACGCAATTTTATGGTTTTTTGGAAAATACAAAGTGATTTTTTATTTGCATGAATGGATCCTTTTCTGATTTAAAATGAAGTGAAATAGGTTCAAATAGCACATAAAACTATGAAGAACAGCTGTGCACCCGAATTCATGGGTTGGTACGATCTCCTTCACGTAAGTCTTCATAGTGATGTACCGTGGCAATAAAATGTGTCCACGAACACATTCACGAGGATGAACAAGTAACGAGTATTGGGATACATTCCTCACGATGTATCTCATGATGCCTTTAGCAGGCCATCCGACAGACGCGGAAGCTTTCCTGTCAGATGCACCACACTATTCGAATTTCACATTTCAAGTTCTATTTCTCAGAGCCAAAAAAAAAAAAAAAACGAAGTCTGGAAATCACCCCCCCTCCTTTAGAGCCCATAAAATCCAGACTTCCCGCCCAGGCAAAGCCACGAGCTATCATGTCCAAGTTAGTCCAACTTTGTTTTGTTTTTCTTTTCGACGCATCTCATTGGACGGGAGGTGGGCATCTTTACAGTCCCGCTCGGAAACTACCAGGCCGTCCAGATCCGATCTATTCGACGGAGGTACTGTGTCACTCGAGGCCACACGTGATCGAAATCCTGAATGAAGTGGTAGAATACTTGGCTAATGGGTCCAGGCCCCGGGGGAAGGGATTTCAAGACCTCGGATGCGTTGCAATATAGGCCGAGAACGTCCAAAACAAAAAGATATTGTGTGGGCGGTTACTGTAAGTGGTGGCTCATTCGCTGATGGTCCGGTTTATGGCGCGTGACAAGCAGCGCTGGTGAAAAGGGCAGGATTGGTACAAACGTATCCATGTATGAGGATCACGTTTGTCACTTCGTTACATTGACGGGCGCCCGCATCTGGTCCCGTTTGAATGTCTCATTCCCAACGACAGCACAGCGTACGGTACCCAAATGTGCACTTGATTGAAAAAGGCTGAACAGCGGTACCCGAATGTGCACTCGAAAACGGTCATTGCAGAACGGGGGGAGGCAAAATCATCCCAAGCGCAGTAAGGAAAAGCTGCTGGGACTATCACTATCTGCATGTCAGATCCCGTAACAAGCGGCATACTTTTTATTCATTGGTAGACCGCCTTCCTGGACTTTCACAATTCAAACGCAAAAAATATGATAGTCATTTATTTTCTATCATTTTTTATATGCTTTAAAATACTTAAAAATCATACATAAAGCGTCACACATCGTATTTTTCTGCACAACATAGTTTTTGTTTTTTTTGTTTTTTTTTTGGCTGGGACCTTCCCTGGTCCTTGCACAGCCGGACCGCCCGGTAAAATAGGGTGACCCGGGCGGCCCGGCTGGTAGCCTAGT